AATAACAATAACAATAATAATAACAATAATAATAGCAGTAATAATAACAATAATAATAATAATAATAATAATAATAATAATAATAATAATTAATGGCAATAAAAGTTGTCAAAGTAAAATCTCACTCATCAATAATTTCACAGCTATGATGTCACGAATGGATCCTCGTTTTCTCTTTGTTTTAACCACAAAAGCATAAAATTACTATGTTTACTGTCTGTAACATTTTTCACAATTTGCTTAGCAACCGTTTCTTTCGTTGTCCTCGTCCTGTCACCGGTCATTTTGTCCTCATTTCGCGCATACTACAGCAGTTCTGTAGAGTGTAGTTGATAGGGCTAAAAATCTGTGGAAGATGTCAGATTGATAGTGCGATAACGCTCGTAAAAATGCCGATATGTGCGCTGACCTTATTGCTATATAGGACAGATTATCCTTCGTCGAATTCATATTACAACGAAAATAAAACAATCGACGCCCTTACAAATGAAGGATTTTCTAGCTTATAAAAAATTGATTCGTTCATTCGTTTAGGTGAATTGGTACTATCATATGTAATGGAATAAAACTCTCTATCAGCTTTCTTTTAAGGATCCACAAGAGAGAGAAAGCATCGACAGATTTATCTGCAGACAAGTCGCTCAGGCTACTTTCGAATGCCTCCGCAGGGGATGAATACAGAAGAAGTTTGGATTTTTATTTCCTTCCGTATTCAAGAACGCGGGGGGGGGTTTATCCAGTAGAAAAAATTTTAAAAATCTAAAGCCTGTCTAAAGTCTGTTTCTCCATCTACTATTTTTACCAGCCTGGTGGCAATCCTGGCATTCGTTTGTGGCGTAATCACGAAAGACGAGCAGAGACGAAAAAAATAGATTATTTATTTAATGTATTATTTTATGATAGAGCAATAACAATTTAAAATGCCCGCTGAGGCAGGACTGGGAAAAAACGGTTCGCTGCGTGAGAATGGACATGACGGAACGAAGTATATGACGACCGATGAGAAGAAACGGCCGAGGACCAGTCGAGACGACAACGAGAAGCAGGAAGACAGTCGGCCGAGACGACAAAGCGAAGAAGGAGTAGGACCCCGAGGCAAGGTGCAGGGAAGCGCCTTATAGTCTTCCGGCGATCAGTCACCAGAAATGTTAAAAGCACAATAAAAAAATTGACACACTGGAACATCGCCGATATTACAGATGGTGGTAAAATAGAGAGATAATTGTTTACACAAAACTAACAAAAAATATTTTAGCATAAAAACACGCTATGATTCATGCACACAAAAGCATAAATTATATAATTTTAACATAAAATATCGCCTTTCGTCGGTAGATATGCCCTGAACTTGTTTGATGAGGTGATGCTTGTTTTACACGACAGAATGATATCAGTGGTTTTTCAGGTCCCAAAATTTCATATCGCAGACGAATAGAAATGTCAGCACACTAACTTTTGTAAATAGCGGTCATAATGGCCAATAAGGTTCACAGCCAGTGTGCCACGATTATCGATAATCGAGCCGGTCACTTCAGTTTGTCGATCTCTTCGGAAAGTCACGGAACTGGTATATCCGTTGCTACATCTGAGACTCATCATTCCGTCTATTCTTAGTCGGCGATATTCATTGGCCGAAGCGGCATTCTCAATGATCACTTTCACCTGCATTTTTTTTTTTTGATGTTTCTCTCATTTTTGTATTTCGTATTCAAGTTTTCCGAGGATTTTGTAGGCTATAAGCCGCATGTCTTGTTTGATCTGATATGCCACTCCACTAGCATGCCAGCAACTTAAGTGCATTATCTCTACTAATGCTTGAATGGCGTGCATCAGCTGTATAACTTTGGGTTTTAGCCATTTCAACGTATTAGCTTTTAAAAATTCCAAAGATAGATTTAACTGGGGTCATAAAAAAGCTGAAATTCAACCGATACGACATGTTGCTGGCCTTATTTAGAGCCGATAAATACAACGTGGTACTGAACGAAACCGCTGCAAGA